TGCAATCTGAGAAATTCTGATTAGTTGATTGTCTGATTCTATATTCTCCAATTCTCAAGTCTCAACTTTATCGAAGTTTCGACTTTCAACAAGAAGAAGGCTTGCTCAACCAGCTCAAGTATCTCAATTCGGGAGGCTTGGACGTTGAAAGGCTTAAACCGTTGAAATCAAGTTGGGATTTTGAACCAGCAATCCGGGTAAGTCAAATTAGATTAATTTTTATTTTTTTAGAATTAAAAAAATGGTCGGCCCTTCTCAAAACCGATTCCCCAACATGTTCACCATGGATGACATTCAATCGCATCATGATAGTATTAGTGTTAGCACTAATGCGTTTGATGTCGATGGAAGTGGAACTTTCACCCCCAGTAGTAGTAGTACTATGGGAAAAAGGAGGGCTTCTAAGCTGAGTAGCCCGGTTTGGAAAATTTTCAAAGTTGAGGATATTGAGGGTAAGGGAAAAAGGACCATTTGCTAAAAATGTAGGAAAGACTTTAGTTATTGTAGCAAGGGTGGTACGGGTCATTTGAGCAGACATCTACTCACACATGAGCGAGAGGAAGATGAAGGGAGAGAGCATAGGTGGAATTCTACCTATGCTATGTTAGAAAGTTGTATATCTCATAAAYAAATTCTTTCTGATTTTAATAATTTAAAAATGCCTAATGATATGATATTTGAGGAAGACTGGGAAATGGCAGTCTGTATAAGAGATTTTTTAAAACAATTTTATGATGCAACAAATGAATTATCTAGAATTCATTATCCAACTAGTTGTAATTTACTGTATCAATTAATGGTAATTAGTGATTGTTTTGCCAAATATAGAAATAATCCACAATTTCAATGTATTGTTGAAATTATGAAAAATAAATTTAAAAAATATTGGGAGAACATTTCTCCCATTTATTGTTTAGCTACAATATTAGACCCTAGAATTAGGAAATATGGTTTAGATATTTTACTTGAAACATATTATGAAAATATGAATATTGATATAGGAAATAAAAAAGAAGAAATTAATAATTTATTATTTGAAATGTACAATTTGTATGAACCTGAAGTTGTAGGAATCCTACAACTTGTTCATCTTCTTCTTCTCCTTCTGACTTTGAGCCCAATAGTAGAAGAGAAAAGCTTTTTTATTTAATAAGTAGAAGGCAGAAATCTGTTAGCTCTACAACAAGTTCATTTACTGAACTTAATTTTTATTTGAAAACAAATTTTTCTAATTTAGGTGAAATATCAAATAATTTTGATATTTTAGCTTGGTGGAGTGAACACTTGAAAAATTATCCGATTCTCGCTGCCATGGCACGTGATCTACTAACCCCTCCGGTGTCTACAGTTTCATTGGAGTCTTGTTTTAGTGCAGGTACTAGGGTGCTGGATGACAAAAGAAGTTGCATGAATGATGAGAGCATAGAGATGTGCATCTGCTTTAAGGATTGGCTAGACGCAGAAGATAGATTACAAGACAAGAGAGGGCATGATACAATACCGGACATTTCACCCGAAGTAGATGATGAAAGTCATGAATGATGATTCATGAATTTGACTACTTATAGAATTTTTCATTTTTTTAAAATTATTGTAAAATTTTTAAATTTTATTTAATTTATTTGATATATATTTTTTTAATTTTTTAACAATGTAATTTTGTATTTTCAATTTGTAATCATATTGTATTTTTTATATTTTATTAATTTATTTCATTTTTATATTTCATTCATCCAAGTATGCAATGATCCAATCATTGTATTTGTAATTCACTAATTTGTACCATTCAAATTTAAATGAAATAANCATTTTTATATTTCATTCATCCAAGTATGCAATGATCCAATCATTGTATTTGTAATTCACTAATTTGTACCATTCAAATTTAAATGAAATAAAATTCCTATTTTTCTTCCAATTTGTTATTCCATCATTCGTATTTCAATTTGGTTAAGTATTTTTTTCATTTATGTATTAAATAACTTAGATTTCTTATGAGAATGAAAATTATCATATTTTTATCCCTTAATATGTAGTTTTTTATACTTATTTAGTGCCTAAATGGACTCATTATTCTTATATTTCAATTTGGGACACGAAAGGAGGCGTTAAGTGGAAAACAAGGCTAATCGGGTAATTCTGGACAGTTTTGGCATCGCGTGGTAATTTGGGCATAACTCTCCCATCTGGACTCTGATTGAGATGAATCATGATGCGTTGGAAAGATAAGGAAAATTTCTATAACTTTCATGTTTTGAGTTTTGATAGACACAGACTACATCGAGGTAAAAATTGGGCCCGAATTTTCTGCAACCGGACTACTGATGTGCTGGAGCAATTCCTTAGCCTGCAAGTTTTTATCCGGGAATTCACCACTCTCCCACTTACACTAGAACAGGGTTTTATCTTAAGAGAATGATATAAAAAGATGAGAAAAAGAAGAGATGAGGGTTCAAACCCCTGAAAGAAAATTAAAGAAGGCTGCTAGGGAGAGGAGGAGGCTGCTGAATGCGATTTGAAGGAGAATCACAACAAGGAGATCGAAGACTGACACAAAGATCTTAAGTGTCTTCCTCTTTGGTTCTGCAGTTTGGTAACCCAGATTCAATTATGGTTCTTGAGGTTTCTCTATTGAATCATTCTTCTTTCTTCCTTTTTATGCGAACCATGATGAGCTTTAATCCTGTTTTGTTATTAAACTTAGGCAGATCCGATTGAGTATGATTTGTTCTTGAGATTCTTGATTAGGGTTTTAATTTTTAGAACAATCTTGACCGAATTGTTCTTGCATTTGTGATTACTTTAATTGCTTGAGAAAGTATTAGGTAATTAGATCATCTAATCAAGAAACGGACTGAATGCATTTTAGAGATAAATTGCATGATTCGGTTGGCAATCATTCATACCTGAATTGTTGACCTACGAATTCTTGTTCTTAATGCATCTTTGGTGAGTAAAATTCTGATAGAGATATAGGATTTGTCATTCAGAGATAGGGTGGGCTGCGCTCGAGAGATGTCGCTCATAAATTAGGGTTTCACCAACCCAAGACTGACTTCACCTCAATCGGATAGCTTAAAGATTTGATTGCTGAATTGGTTCTGTCAATTCTTGTATGTAGTGACTTCTCTTATCATTAAGAGTGGTTTGATCCGAAATTAATTAGGGTAGTTTGCTTGTTCTTACTTAAATCATGAGGGGCTAGGTTTTTAGTGTTAGGGACTAATGCTTGATCATGCATTGAATTTCATTCATTAATAAAACCGATGAGGTTCTTGTTATATTGTGTTATTTGTGCTGATTACTTACCATTGATTGATCACCAATGATTCGTTCTTTAATCAAGATTATGCATCAAGAGATGATAATCRAGGTGGAACTAATAACACTTGTTCGGCCAATAATTAGGTAGAGATATCATTTGTTGGTAGGATTTCCTTATAGGTGTATTAACAGCTTGTGTTTATGCAAAGATGATTTCAATTGAGAGAATGAGAATTCCTTGATTGCAATTCCATTTAATTAAACATAGGTTTAGCTAATCGACTCTTGAGAAAGATCAACTAGTGCTTTTAGGAAACACCTTGGATTATAACAACACTCATGAGATTTTATTAGTATTGAATCTTGATGATCGTGATAGGAATAATCCCTAGCAACTTTGTTATTGATTTCGTTCAAGTTCTTGTTTCTGTCATTTAATTTCCTTAATCAGTAGTGCTAGTCTAAATTCCTTAATTCGCAACCCAATCGATTATTGCTTTAAACAAGTTGGGAAGAAATTTCTAGGTGGCTAAATAATTCATTCCTCTTAACAACGATTATGTAATCCTTACTATATTACTTGCACGACTCTGTACTTTTGCGGATAGCAGTCAATTTCTCATTTCTTAATTTTTTAAATAGTTCCTAATTCCCAAAGTTCATAGGAAAGTTAAATATTTTAGTTTTACAATTTTACTTAGAAAAGAAATCAAAATTTTCAAAAAAATAAAAAATAAAAAAAAATAATGCAGCCCGGTCCAAGCCCACGACACAGTCTACAGCCCGGCCCGGCTCAGGCCTGCGTGCTGGCATGGCACGGCACGGGCCCGTGGCAGCTCACGGGCCAGCACGGCACGGCCCGCCTTTAGGGCGGGCCGCCCATGCGTTGTGTTGTGCTGGCCCGGCACGACCCACTTTACACCTCTAGCTCTACGGTCTCTCTCAACCTCTGTTCTCATACCTCCCTCTCCACTCTCCGATCTTTCAGTAAATTATTCTGTAAATTCAATTTTGATTGGACTCCATTGAAATGGATTCCCGTTGCATGTTTAAGTTGTTTTATTTTGAAATTTTGAAGAAGAATAAAAGGTAAAATAATCTTTTTTATCTTTTTGTTAACAGACGTTGACAATAAGGAAAGTATTAGTCAATTGTCAGAAACAGTGCGTTAGTCAATTTTTAAACAATAAGGATACAATTAGTCAATTAGCTAAACAAATAAGGGTAATTTAAGAAATTTACTCTTATGATATCCAAAAAACACCTGACCAATCAATTGGAATCATATACTTGATGGCGAATCAGTGTTATTTATCAAAATTCATGAGTGGATTTTGATTGGTCAAAACTCTTTCCATACCATATCTTTTCCATATCATAGATTTTATTATTATAAGTTTTAATTATTTTACATTTTTACTTTCCTTTATAAATCCCGTACATCGCACGGGTCACCGCTATTGCAATCAAGAGCCGGGGAAATAGGCTTCTGCGCTTGCTTACTCTCTTATCCGTTTAGATGTAATTGAGCTTTTCATGCAGCACGCCCATTATGGCCAAGGCGCTTCTTCACTCTTACTCATCCTTAGCCACCTATCCTACCTTCCCCAAAACCCAGAAAAGTCCATCTCTCCAACTCTCCAAACTCTCCGAACATCGCGCTACTACTACGTCTCTCAAAGAAATCTGCAAGAATGGAGATCTCAAAAGAGCTTTTCTCTCTTTCACTTCTTTCTTTGCCAACCAAAGCCCCCCTCCATTTCCTCTAGACGAAGCTTATTCCTCCATTTTAGATCTTTGTGCCCTAAAAAAAGCAATAGAACAAGGTCAGCAAATCCATGCCCACATTCTGACATCCAATTGCGCCTTTGATTCCGCGTTTTTGAGCACCAAACTTGTCTTCATGTATGGAAAATGTGGAGCTCCAATGGAGGCTCAGAAGTTGTTCGATCAAATACCCCACAGAACAATTTTCACGTGGAACGCAATGATTGGTGCTTATGTTTCAAATGGGAAACCCTACAGAGCACTTCAATTGTATCGGGAAATGCGGATGTTGGGAGTTACTCCTGATGCTTGCACCTTTCCTTGCATACTTAAAGCCTGTGCTGGGCTCATTGATCTTCAGTCTGGGGCTGAGATTCATGGTCTAGCGATCAAATGTGGGTTTGGCTCTTTTCTATTTGTTGCCAACGCACTTGTGGCGATGTATGCGAAGTTCAATGATTTTAATCGGGCAAGACAGTTATTTGACAGGATGGTAGTCAAAGAGGATGTTGTGTCATGGAATTCTATAATCTCAGCATACTCAGCAAATGGCCAGCCTCTTGAGGCACTGAGGCTTCTCCGGGAAATGCAGAAGGGTGGTGTTTCCATGAATTCATATACTGCTGTCGGCGTTCTCCAAGCTTGTGATGACCCATCCCTTATTAAATTGGGTATGGAGATCCATGCCGCTGTCTTGAAATCCAGTTTGTATCTCCATGTTTATGAGGCCAATGCACTGGTTGTCATGTATGCAAGATGTGGTAGAATGGATAAAGCAGCAAGAGTGTTCAATAAGATGGATGAGAAGGATAATGTTTCATGGAATTCTATGCTTTCAGGTTTTGTGCAAAACGAACTTTATGACAAAGCTGTTGGATTTTTCCATGAAATGCAGGAAACTGGTCAGAAACCTGACCTGGTTTCAATCATAAATATTGTTTCTGCTTTAGGTCGGTTGGGGAGCCTGTTTAATGGGATGGAGTGCCATGCTTACGCAATTAAACACGGACTACATTCTGATTTGCAGATAGGGAACACACTTGTTGATATGTATTCCAAGTGTTCTTGTGTAAGTTATATGGAGCGTGTGTTTTACAACATTCCTGATAAAGATTTGATATCGTGGACAACAGCCATTGCAGGTTATGCTCAGAACAAGTGTTATTTGGAGGCCTTGAGAAAGTTTCAAGAGGTACAGATGAAAGGGATAAAGGTGGATGAATTGATGATTGGGAGCGTCCTACTTGCCTGTAGTGGATTGAGGTGCACTTCCCATGTGAAGCAAATTCATTGTTACATAATGAGACGGGGGTTATTTGATCTTGTGCTGCAGAACATTGTTCTGGATGTATATGGAGATTGTGGAGATATTGAGTATGCATCACGAATGTTTGAGGAGATGAAGGATAAAGATATTGTGTCTTGGACAAGCATGATATCTTGTTATGTCCATAACGGGCTCGCTGATGAGGCGCTTGACCTCTTCTCTGATATGATGCATAATGGTATTGTACCTGATATGGTATCAATAGTTAGCATACTCTCAGGTGCTGCCAATTTGTCTGCTTTGAGGAAAGGAAAAGAGATACATGGATTCCTCACTAGAAGGGACTTCGGTTTAGATGGATCCCTTGCAAGTGCCCTTGTGGACATGTATGCAAGGTGTGGGACCATAGATAGCTCTTACAAGATATTCAACAGAATTAGATCCAAGGACTTAATTCTGTGGACTAGTATGATCAATGCATGTGGAATGCATGGCCGTGGTAAGGAGGCAATTGGCTTGTTTGAAGCAATGAAGGAAGCAAATCTTATACCTGATCACGTTACCTTCTTAGCACTACTCTATGCATGTAGCCATTCAGGATTGATCGATGAAGGGAGAAGATATCTTGAACTTATGAAAAATGAATATCAGCTGGAGCCATGGCCTGAGCATTATGCATGTCTGGTCGACCTTTTAGGACGTGCAAATCGTTTGGATGAGGCATACAAATTTGTGAAAAGTATGCCAATTGCACCAACAGCTGTTGTATGGTGTGCTCTCCTTGGGGCTTGTCGGGTTCACTCTAACAATGAACTGGGAGAAATTGCAGCACATAAGCTTCTTGAACTTGATCCAGAAAATCCAGGGAATTATGTGCTAGTTTCAAATGTTTTTGCTTCCATGGGAAAGTGGAAGGATGTTGATGAAGTTAGAATGAGAATGAAAGGAATGGGATTGAAGAAGAATCCTGCATGTACTTGGATTGAGGTAGGTAATAAGGTGCATGCTTTCACTGCGAGGGACAGGTGTCATCCACAAACACAAGAAATCTACTTGAAATTGGATCAAATGACTGAGATATTGGAGAGTGAAGGAGGTTATGTGGCTGACACAAAGTTTGTTTTGCAGAATGTGCAGGAAGAAGAAAAGCTTAAGATGCTTCATGGCCATAGTGAGAGGCTTGCCATTGCATTTGGTCTGATTGGAACCTCTGAGGGTACACCCATCCGAATTACAAAGAACCTCCGGATCTGTGGCGACTGCCATGTGTTCACAAAGATGGTGTCAAAGTTCTTCAAACGAGAAATTATCATGAGGGATGCCAACAGATTTCATCATTTCAATGGTGGGGTCTGTTCTTGTGGAGATTTTTGGTGACTTGAGTAAATACTTAGGAACTGGTATATGAATACCTCTATTACACATGGACCTTCAGTTATTGATCACTTAACCCTAATTCTGCCTGAAGATTGCGAAGGATTGTGCTAAGAAAACAACTGCATAGTCAGATAAAGGGCTTAATGGTTGGTCACAGCATGTACAACTAGCCGTGCTACAATTGCAAAGGAAGAGTTTAAGAGAGAATCTGGAGGAAAAGTTTACTGCTCTTGTCCTTGATGGAATTCTTGCGGGGGGGAGCTATGGAGTATGTTCGAGCAATGGGACTTGGCTCTTGATAGAGTGCAACTCTGCAACGGGAAAAGAGGATACATGTAGCAAACCTCAAATTTTAGGCTGCGTTTGGAAACGAGGTAAATACCGGTTCAGTGCATTATTGCACCCCAGTCCACAATTCGATGTGTTTGGAAACGTTGTAAAAGCACCCCTAAGATCGATGTAAAATCGCAAACATGTCAGGATTTACATTGATTTTGGGGTGAAAAACTACTTCGATTTTTTCAAAGTAAAAATTCATGCCCTTCTTTCATTGAGGGAAATAGGCGAGGAGTTTACTCTCATCCACCAGAACGATGCGGTCGAGTAACGGCTATTTCCCATTCACAACGTCTGAGACCTGAGATTCTGAGCATCTGAGCGTCTGTCCGAGTGTTCGAACCTCTAGCTATTTTCCCATTCAAGTTGCTGGCAACTTCTACATTCTATCTGAGTGTCCAAGCTTCTAAGTCTGTGTCAGAATCCAAGAAATCATTTCGGAGAACAGTGAACCTCTTCTGTCCACTCGTTATAGTGCTGGTGAGGTTTCTTATTCATTTTTTTTTTCCATCTGACAAATCAAGTAGATACTGATCTAGTTTTTTTGTTGTTTTTGTAGTTTTTCTCTTGTTTGAAGCTTCTTCAACCTCGTCATTTCCAGATCCCCTTCAACATACCCATTTCCAGGACCTTCTTAGACCACTTGAAAGTAAGAAATAGAATGTTCCTTACCTATTTAGTGAACTTGCTTTTTTTCTTTTCGTTGTTGGATTCTCTTCTGTTTTTTTCATTTTCTCAATATGATCTGTAGTTTTAACAGATTTGGGAAATTTTTCCCGTATCTTGTAGTAACATTTGCAGATATGTACCTTTGTACAGATCTATTCAACATTTCCCCTGTATTTTGTAGTTATTATTAGATCTGTAAAATATTTTTCCTGTATTTGTAGTTATTATTAGATCTGTTCAACATTTCCCCTGTATTTTTTAGTTATTATTAGATATATTCAACATTTCTCCTCTATTTTGTAGTTATTATTATCAGCCCTTTGAATTGCATTTTGTATCACATGCATTGATACTTTTAACCCTTCTTGGATCAGTCACTAATTGACATTAGATATGCACAAATATGAATTAGATATGTATCTCTGTTCAATTAAGTATGAGAATAAGATTTTCTTCTTGGAATTGCCTAAGGTTCAACATGATCCTAATCGACCTTATACATGCACAAATACTACAAATGATTCCTTCCCACCCCTTGTTTAGCTAAAACATCAGCAAAAGAATTTGTGTGATGATGAATCAATTCTCATCTTTAATTTAAGGCAAGTATTTATGGAGTGGGGAAAAACTTGAGTATTTCTACTGATTATTGCATCTGTCTTACCAATTTGAAGTTTGAACAGCAAGTCAGTGATCTAACAAACTAATTACTGCTAAAACAGAGAATGCATTTTTTGGGTGATGTAGATGCCAGACTAAAGAGTAGGGATATCATTCCCAGACCTGGCCCAACCTGCACCTTGGATTAGAAATATAGGCCTGGGCATGGCCCTATATGAGCCTGGGCTTTCTGAGCAATCATGCATAGGCCTAGATCCAGAAATTTGCATACCATGCCAGGAATGATAATCCCTATCAAAGACAACAAGAATTGGATTCACATGCAGGTTATAGTTCAAGCACAACAATTCTAGGCTAATACAGAACAGTAAATAGCATCTGAATAAAGCAATTAAACAATGAATAATTCAGTTTCTGAGAAACTGTAATCATAAAATCTAGTCAAGGCAGATCAGTTCAGGAGACTCAACCAGAGCATAGATCATGGTTCTTCTTCATAGAGTAAAGATGATTTATATGAGGATTACACTAGGATGGAAATTGAAGGGGACTCAGAGGGAATTATTGGCTCAATGAGGGAGGGAGTTAAGGAATTGTGGCATTTGTGAAATTTTACTAGGGAAGCTAAATTGGCTTCCTGAGTGAACCTGGATCAGTTAAAACCAGCTGTTAGTGTGATTAGTCAGGTTTCCAAAGATCTAAGACTTTTTGGGGCTTAACTCTAGCATTATAGTATTTTGGGCCATACATAAGCTGCTCTACTTTAATTTTCTTTGGATGTAGATGAGCTAATTAAGGCCAATATTGGTTATTGTTCATTGCTGGAATTCAGGTACTTTTCTTGCTCTGAATGTAACTCACTGTTACTGATCGATATAAATATATAAATACATAAAGACATATCATTAATACATATGTATATATACGGACATATACACCTACATGGACACACATATGTGTGTGGGCCCAGGAGTCAATGTCTGCCAATCAGGTTGTTTAATAAGCTTCCTTGAATGACCCATTAATTTTCCATGTGGCAATCTAATTGGATGCCCCAAAAGGACCCAACATGTTTGTCTTGCTGGACAAGATTCATGGGGCAAATTTCAGCCTCAAAGTACTTTCCACATGTCAATAGAAGTCTTCTTTTCTGGACAAGTTTACAATAAAAAGTTGTAAATACAAACTGCTAATATTTGTCTGGGAAACCACCAATACAAGGTGGAGTATATGGCTGCTATGCCCTGGAGAGTTGAACATTTGGCCAATCCCTCCACATGAAAAAATGGGGTAAGTTGTGTAGGGAACTACCTACTTAATCAGTTTTTTTCCCTGTTAATAAAGAAGAAATCAATAAACTGATACAGAATCAAATATAAAGAATATTAATTAAACCACCTACACTTTAAACCATTAGCATCAGATGATTTTAACTTTCCAACAATAATCTCTCCTACAAATGGCCGAAACATAATCAATCAGAACTGCACCTGCCAGGATAAAATGACATGATGAGTCATCTGAAAAGGGAAAAGAAATAAGCAAAACCTTAATTGTTTCTTGATTCTATCAGGGGAAAATAAGATACAGACTATCTAAATATCATTATAAGTGGTCCTTGCTGATTTTTACTTCTTAAGTGGTACTTTCTGGACTTTTCCTTGTAAGCTTGTTCCCTTAGAGTGCTTATTTTTCATGCAATCATTAGCCTTCATTAACAAGTTCATACCTCCTCAGCAAACTCTACCTTACACCAAATGGATGTAACTCCAAATTCTTCTGCTTCAGCAGTGTGTAGGTGGGGAATGGTTCAGGGTGGGATAAATGGGTGATTCAAATATTATAAATGCTAACAGATATAGAAAATGAGAAAGCTATTGAGAGTTTTAGAGCTTATATTAAATATTGAATAATGTTAAGATTAGCCATGTTTGTGTTTGGAAATAATGGACAAGACATCTTCAAATCATTACCTCAAATCAATATCTGGGCCTAGGAGTGATATGTAAAATTCTAATCAGAAATTTGCATTAGGGACAACTTGAGCTGCTGTATTCTCTTCTTGCTATCAAATATTTTCTATAGCAAAGTTTTTTTTTTTTTTTTTTTGCTAATGAATACAAGTATATTCTGCTGGCTATCCAAAAAAACAAAAGTACAAGGCTTTATTGGTGTCTATGGTATACCATTGTTAAGAACATTACTACTCTCTAGTACTGCTTTCTGTACTTGTTGATCCAGGATGATTGGTGTCTATGGTATCGGAGTTATATGTCTTTTTTTGTTAACATAGAGTTTATATTTAATTTGGGAGTTTTAAGGGGCTGCGATATATTTGGAAATTGGAGATATTAATTTTTAGTAGGCATTTAGCTATTACCTTCTAACAATTTCATCAATTATCAGTGATAAGAGGTGCCATCATTTTTGTTTTTGAGGGGGGAGGGGGACGGGGGTATTGGGTGAAATTCCTGATAGGAATTAATATTATTGTACAGCTAAAGTATCTAATTTCTGCTTTTTAATTTGTTACACCAAAATATTCGTTGAGAAGCTCCCATTAGAAGATCCATAATGAATATCCTTGCCTATTACAGGTCAGAGACAAGGATAGAAGCTCATGCAAGCTATCTCTTTGTGTATAATTGTTGAGACATAAATTCATGTACATTCTGACATTAGAGATAAACTTTTATGTTAATATGTAGTTTGCTATGTGCATATCATTAGTCTTGTAGTTTTGCAGGTCCTGAATATGTATTATATTATTGCTTTATGGAAATTTAGACATGCATCCAGAACCTTACCCTTTTCCTATTCCCTACTTCAAAACGTCCTCAAAGCTTTACTAAACAGGTTATACACCTGTTTTATTCACTTCCAAATGGAACAGCCATAAGTTTGAAAAGCAGCTCCAGGCTCCCAACCCATATTTCTCACACCATGCTTAACCTGAATTATCCTCCGTTATTCATCCTACTGTTCACCAATGCTTATTGCTTTATAATGCATATTCTCATACTTAAGTTGATACAACATATATGATTGTTTATTTGTTATACACTTGTTGAGTTTGGTTTATGCATATTCTCATACTTTAGGAATATTGTAAGTGTTACATCTCTAAGTCAGGTTTTGGACATGTTGATATGGTTACATATGCTTTTTTTTTTCCTTTTCATTATTTTATTTTGTTGATGAAACAAATAGGTAATCAGGTTTTGGATAGGAATAAATTCATGGAGAGGGCTAGGTTGAGGGTTTGGACAGGTCTAAGTCCATGTATAGGTATGCTGTATGGGTTTAAGATTTTGACAGGCCTAAGTCCATGGACAAGGATGGGTTCAAGTTTTGAATAGGTCCAACTCCATAGATAAGGGTCGGTTCAAGTTTTGGGCAAGTGCATAGACAATTGTATGGGTTTAGGGTTTGGACAAGTACAGAATTTTGGACAGGGATAGGTTCAGGTTTTAGTGAAGTATAAGTCCACAGTAGTGAATATTATGATACACAAACCCGGACCTTTTTCTAGTATAAGATTTCAGGTTTTCAATCTGAAGTTTGTGTAGTTGTGGTTCCAATATGCTGTTACAATTGAGTTCTTCTTCAGGGGTGCTTTAGTTCAGGCAACAACAGTGAAACTTTATGGTGATGTGTGGTTTGTCTATGGACAGGTAGAGTTCTATATGTGAGACAAGCACTGTGCAGTATAAGTAGGGGTTGCAAATATATGCCTGAAAATAGTAGATATCATAATAAGTTTTACCAACCATCTCTGAAGTGAAGTAGCTTGAACATCAAAATTCTGGTTAATGAAGATTAACAAAATGAACAGGAACCAGCCACTAAGATTGACCAAATGTCTAGAAGAACTAGTACATTGTATCAAATCTCTCTGAGTTCCTGAAGCCCACATGATATAGAAAGCTGACAATCTCCTCATACTTGCCTGGTTGTGATTCTTGAATTTTCACTGACATTATACCATGCATAACGTGACATGACTATACCACAGAAGAATACTATGAGAATCCCACTGAGGTGTAAGAGCTGCACAAGGAAAATACAATTAAGATGAACAATGTGATGACATGTGCCTAAGATGCACACAAACACAAGATTGACAATACCGTATTTGATTCAAGTGTAGGATACCACTGAACACTAACTTAGTGCTATTAGTAGTTGAAAAATAAAAACACAACCTCTTTGTTCATCCACCCTTAGTTTAAGAGACACATACAGGGATTGGGCATCCCAGCAAAAACTAGCAAGATAGGAAACCCTCAAATTGGAAAGTTCAGCCCAATCAGAACAGAATAACTGTTTGGTCAGTCTGACATTTTCTAAGTCAATGAGTGGCCATTTACATGAAACTTCATTTGTGCCTGCATATAGCAGAAGGGTGAAAAAGCATGAACTTTATCTTTCCTGCATGATCAAACTTCACTCCCATCAACAAAGGTTCTTTTCCAGCTTTGAAAGCCAAGATGTTTCACTACCAAGACGTGATGTAATGACTTAAAGTCTCTCTTTTTTTCCTCTCAAGGTAAAATGAGGATATTAAACTGCCATAAGACTTCAAGATTAAAAATCATGCATGAGTATATATATATATATAGTTTTATTAGACATTTTTCTCCTATATCAGATGTTTACCTCAGACAGCATGTAGGACAGATACGCCATTCTGTAAGGGAAGCCTTAACCTAAACATTAAAACAGTAGCATCAAGTCAGAAAAGGAACCATTCTGAAAACATTAACTTGGGTCCATGGATGAGAAGTGAAGATCCTTGGTCTGAAACTGTACTCCAAGTATTTATATATTTCCTAGATTCAGCCAAAATTGGTTGACTTTGTATAAATGTGATTGCAATCGATTGTGGGCTTCAGGTGAAAACCGTCCATGTCCATGACAAGCCATTTAGCTTGGATACTATTGTGGGCGTCATGTGAGAAAACGGTCCATGTGAGTAACTAGCCTAAAGGCCATTGACACATGTTCAATAGCACAATCCACAATCAAACAAATGGTCAATTCTTTTTTTACATCAGTGTAAATTTCCAAATGCCAGCAAAAGCACACCGATTGTTTTACATTGTTGATGCCAAACGAGAAAGAGCATAAATCAAACATACAAAAGCAAACCGGTTTCTACAATTTTTTGTGCTTTTTTGCATATTTTTTGCATTTTCTGGTGTTTTCATGCTTTTCTTGCAAATTTCTAGTATTTTTTTGCATATTTTCTGATTTTCTGCAAAAATTCTGAATTTTCTACAATTTTTTTAGTTTTTTAGTTTTTTTTTTTTTGTAATTTTCTGATTTTTTTGCAATGTTTGGTATTTTTTTTTTTGCACTTCTTGCCATTTTTCTATTAGTTTTTACATTTATTTACAATTTTTGCATTTTCGAGTATACAGGTTGGCTTGACTTGTTTTTACCATGTGGCAGTCTTGAGAGATTATTCTCTAAAAAATTATTATTTCAGGTATACGGGGCCGTCTTGACCCATTTTTGTATTTATAGGTGAGGATGATTAAGGGTCAATATGGATGGGTCAAGTGGGTAAATATGGATGGGTCAGGGTGGGTTATGACCCTTTAACAATGATTGATGATGGGTCATGGTGGATTGGTGGTAGGGGTCTCAGTTGAATTGGATTTGGTCCAATCCAATCCAGTTCAATGCGTGTCCATTATAAATGGACCAAATCCAATCCAATCCGATGAATATTTTGGACTGGTCCAATTCAATGTCTAGACCGTCCAATCTATTCAAATTTATTTTGATTTATATTGGTTTCAACCCAAACCCGGTCCATTGACACCTATATTCTTATTTTATATCAATGGACCAGATATTGGCTTAATGTTTGGTGCTACCCTACCACAAATATGACCACATTCCCCGTAACAAAAACAGATGCCAACATTTTAGGTGTTTTTAGTTCATGGTTGTTTTTGTTTTATCAGTTCAATCCAGGTCAAATGGATCAATTCCGGTGTCAAAATTGGAATTTTGGACATATCCATAAACAGAATGGAATGGAATGGTGCAATTGGATTCATGTAATTGACTTCATATAACTGTGATAAGGCAATCATGGTCATGATCATACTGAACAAATAAGTGTGATATGAAAATTATTTTTGTTAATGATAAAAATAGCTTAGTAATAAACAAAAACAAGAGAATTAATAAATAATTCATCACCTAGTGACCTATTTAAACCGTTCAACCATTCAACCAGTCAGGTCAATAGGCCATTATTAGGTCAACCTTTTTTTTTTTTTTTTTTTTTTGGTAAACAAGCTGTTCACTAGTGAAATGGATTTGGAATTCTAACTGGGTATGGTCAACCAGTTTGTCTAGTCGATTCAATCCTGTTATAAACAAAGCTGTTCACTAGTGGCAAAAGGGATTGTTCAATGCCATATTATGAGCATTTAATCGTTTCTTATTTATTCTACCTAAGTCATTTTAAAGCACTGCCATCATCTAGTGACCATAAATTCACAAGAAATTTTGATTGGTCAAAACCTTTCTAGTATAATGTTTTTCTGGTATTTCCCATATTTAAAAGTAACGAATAGAGTAGATCCCCTCAATTCAGCATTTTTTTTTTCTCTTACCCCTTCAAGTGCTTACAGGAATCTCCTTCTAGATGATTTTTTTTGGTAGAACTTCTAGATTAATTGGAACCACACTTTTGGTGACCTGTGTTGCTCCTTAAAATTAAGAGATAAATTACAGATTGCCATCCTATACTTGGTGGTAGCAATGCTTACTCCCCTCTACCCCCCTCAAACACAAATTTTGAGACAAAGACCCACCTTTAACTTTTTAGAATCCAACACTCTCTCCTACCGTTAGCATTCCATCAATTAACTTCAAAAAAGTTCTCTTGTGATTGTTATGTTTATGCTTAGCATTTTTAAAATCATTTTATTAGACCATTTTGCAAAAGAAATGATAGAACACAATGAAAAAAAAAAGAAAAGAAGATAAAAGTAAAGTATAGAAACTATAGAAAATACTATAAAAATGAAGAAATTGGGGAAAATACAATAAAATGCAGGAAATGGAAGATTACACAACATAAAATAAAGTAATAGAGGAAAATATAGAAGAAATAGGAAAAATACAAAAAACACTAGAAATTACAAAGAAAAACTAAGAATACAATAAGAGATACTGTACTTTAACATGCTTAATTTTGTTACTTTGACATTTTCTTCTCTAACACATGGAACTTTGAATGGACATTTAGTAAATTTTCCTTCACCATCAAGCCTGTTAATGAGGTAATAAGGGAGAAAAGTGCTGGAATCTGAAATTCAGGGTAGATCATTTATTAAAATAAATGGACATTTAGTAAACTTTCCTTTACTACCAACAGCAACTACCCCACAGAAAGCAATGCATTAATTACCAAAAAAAAAGACCATTTATTAAAATACCCTTATTGTTTCATAGATTTGTTAACACTTACACTATAAATTGCATTTTACTAAGATACCTCTATAGTTTGCCACCAATTTAACGGACCTTTCTTTGAGAAACCTTTGTATCGCTGTATAGAAATGGGTCATGTAACCACCTAATGACTACATCGGGCATGGTTTATTTCAAAAATACCCCAATCATATCAAATTAAAAAAAAAATAATGTTTTGTTTCATTAATAGAACGAAGATGAAAAAAGAACAATATTATTCAGGTTCTTTGTCTGCAACATTATATCTTCCTTTTCTAAAACAATAGACACACTGCTCATATGACAAAATGGTCAACCACACTTTACCAATTAAATTTATTCAAACATTAGGATGGAAAGTTTCATTTTTGGCTTCGATTAAGTAAATTGGCTGCAAATAAGGGGGGTCTAGTAATATGAAGAACCATAGGGTGGGTTTTATTATATTCATTAAATTACAAACGATCAAAAAAAAAAAAAAAACCAAGAATACAGTGCATTGTGAGCTTGCCTGCATCCTGGTAGGTCCCACGAGTGACTCAAACACGTGGTTCTCTGAGAGGCAGTGACGTGGAGGGATCCACTGAGTCAGGGACTCGTTGTAGATGGATTTGGACCGTTTGGTGTTCTCTCTCTCTCAATCTATATAATTCACAAAATGCCCATCATGATTCAGTCAAGCAAGATGAAAGTGACTGAATAAGCTATTAAGCTTAACCGCCGATCTATTATACTTTTTTTATGGTTCATCAGCCACATGTCCCACTCCTCATTCATCCATAGACTATAGCCTATGACGATAATGAATTAATAAAATGTTAAAAACACTTAGGTTAAATTTGGGAATGTTTATTTGAAAAATAAGTGTTTATATTGTTTATTAGCATTTGGTGAAAAATCATTTATTTCAAATAAGGATAATATAGGTATTTTCAAAATAACATAGTGGCCCATCGTACCAAAAAACATGGTTTTGAAAATTGGACCCGTTCGGTCAGATAAATTGACCTAAAAATAGTTAGGTAACTAATTACGTTTTATCGTAAAACCATTTTTTTTCCGACCTATCAATTTAATTAATAATTTTTGTTTTTTTTTTTTATTTTTTAAATCAAAATGAGTCATCCATTCAAACCGAATGATCAGATCATTCAGCATTAGAACGGTCCCAGAACATAACGGTTCCATGTCCGGTAAAAACCTTGCCAAAAAGAAAATAAACAATTTAGGCTTATTTTTTTCTCAAACATTGATATGTGGTCCCGGCCTAAAATAAGTAATTATTCGACTAATCGCTGATTTTTAGGCTCACAAACTTAGCCTTGGCTTTGTAAGCGGATAAAATTGTCTCGTCCATTTATCTGACCATTAACATTTAACAGCCAGCCAAAATCATAGCGAATGTAACATGTAATTGGTACCATGTGAAAAGGGTAATCTAGGAATCTTATCTCCTCTCAATCTCCAACCGTCCATCTCAGTTTAGACGTCAGACTTTCAAGAATGTCAAATTCCGATTTTTAAGACTCTGGAAACTGCCACACCCAGTTTTATAAATCTGTGTTTTTCACCGTTTTAAGAACTTTCTCTCTGTCCACTTCAACCAGACTCTCATTGATCACCTTGCATTCAAAGGCCCAAACCCGAGGGGAGCGAAGATGCTGGCAGTGTTCGACAAATCGGTTGCCAAGAGTCCTGAGGGCCTGAACTGCCCCCATGCGGAATCTGTTTCTGCATTGAAGGATGGGACCCTGGTTCATCATTTCTCCTCTGCTCATCCAGGTTCCATCGCCATTAATTTCGGAACTGCAGGTTCCATGGCTTACTACACTGGTGAACAAAATCCTTTCCTCCCAAGGTAAAGATTTCAGATCCATTTTCTTCGACGTTTCTTCCTTTCACAAAATTCGATTCTTCGATCATGTACGTGCGTTCTAAATAGTTTCTGGGTTTTTCGATTTTTGTTGTTTTGTAATGGTGATTGTCTCTAGATCAGAAAAATCAAATGGTAAAAGTAAAAAATCCAGTTTCTTTTACATATTGATATGGACTTGGGACAAATAAGAGGACCCATCTCCAAAATGTTATTCTTGTCCCCATTCTTTGCATTAATTTTCTACTTTGAAATGTATATTGATCTGGGTCTAGATCTTAGATGATTAAACGATATCTAATAAGACAATTTATCCTTAAAAAAATTCTGTCTATAACTCACTGCCTCTTGTTTTTTTATTCAGACGTACATACTACATATTAGATATTTTACATCCCATATTAATAAAAAACTGTATTTTTTTATTTTTTTTTTATATTTGATCAATACAAAATCTAGTAATGCATGGTTTTCTGTTTACTAGATCAATCTATGCCAAATATCATTATTCGGGCTTTGAATTAGTAGACCTAATTAATCTAAAAAATATCATCTATTTTGCCCTGATCAGCTGCCTAACTTTGCACTTTGTTTCTGGAAAAAATGAAAAATAATCTAACGTAATAGTAAAAAGGCTATTTTGAACTTTTACTCTCGCAAGTAAGGTAAATGTTGAACCCAAAGGAATTTCCATATCATAGTCGAACCTAGATGGAAAAATCTCTGATACAGAAAAGATATGATATCGAAAGAGTTTCGATCAATCAAAATTGATTTATGATAAATAACACTTGATTCGCTACCACATTTATGATTCCAATTTAAATCTCTTGTCTATCAAAGAGATTTAAATTACTCAGGCTAGGCATAAGCAATTATTTGTAATCTCGACTCCCCCTTTTTGTCTGCCAGACTATTTGCTGTTATAGACGACATCTTCTGTACGTTTCAAGGAAATATTGAGAACATTGCTCTTCTGAAACAACAATACGGATTGAACAAGACAGCAAATGAAGTCATCATTGTAATAGAAGCCTACAGGACCCTCAGAGACAGAGGTCCTTTTCCTGCAGACCAGGTCGTGAAAGATCTCAATGGGAAGTTCGCTTTTATCCTCTATGACAGTTCCTCGAAACAAACTTTCGTTGCTGCGGTGAGTAATAGTTCTACGGTTCTACCCACTAATTTTGTTATTCAATTCTTGATTAGGCTTTGCCTATGCTTGTTTACAGTACTGATTTAAACTGGATACAATTTTTGCACCAGTTTCAGCTTTGCGATTTAATTCCCTCTTTCTTTCTCTCTTACTCTCTTTCTCTCTCATATAATCATTATAAAGTGGGACCACATCATTTTGACTCCTACCTTACCCCTCCCAAACAAATAGCTTTCATGTCATCCTCCCTCCGTTCTCTCACATGACATAAATTTGGGACCATGCCATTTTATTTCTGGCAAACAAACAAGACAAGACAGAATCAAAAGAAAAAGTAAAACAGATTTTGCACTCAGGCAATTTACGCACTCCGTTTGCATCAGTGCAGATGAACCTAGGCTCAGATTGGAAAGAGTATAAATATAAATATGTATGGTATAAATGTATACAAAATACAAAGTTTAGAAATATCCATTACAAGGTTTTACGCTGAAAATATGTGTTTGTAATCTTCCCAAACTGAGCCGAAGTTATTATTTTCTTTTCTGCTTTTATATTCACTACATTCTTATTTCCTATGGAGCTGGTGACTTGAGATGTTAACACAAATGTGGGTAACTTGCTGACACAAGGAATTTGTTTGGGGTTAACTTTGCTAACCTCAGGATGTTGATGGGAGCGTTCCCTTCTTCTGGGGGACCGATTATGATGACAATCTAGTTCTGTCAGATGATGAAGAGACCATGAAAAAAGGTTGTGGGAAATCTTTTGCACCATTTCCCAAAGGTATACAATGATTAAAAACAGATCTTTCTTGTACATGTAAGGTTTTCCTCTACGACTACAGGTCATGTTGTAGCTTATTCTGTAATCTTGTTTATTAAATCTTCGTCAGGGTGCTTCTTCACGTCGTCTGGAGGGTTGAGGAGTTACGAGCACCCTCTGAATGAGATGAAGGCAATGCCAAGAATTGACAGTTCTGGCCAGGTCTGTGGTGCGACTTTCAAAGTTGATGCTGAGACTAAGAAGGAAAGCAACATGCCAAGGGTTGGAAGTGCCGCAAATTGGTCTGAACAGTACTGACCTCACTATTTACTGAATTACTCCATTTCAGTTCTACTTTGCTTTTGTTTAGCTTCCTGGCAATAATCTGTCGGTATCATGGTGACATTAATGGCATGGCCGAGGTTTCTGCCACATCTCTTGTGATACATTGTATTCCTCTCCGAGGAATTGAAAGGAACCATGCATCTTTTCTAGTCTAATGTATCACAATGTTGAGTAGTTCTTCAGTTTAAACCGCACTTGGGGCTACTTCGGTTCAGGTGTTATTACCGGGAAATCATGCTTGTGGTAATTATTAAGCATTTTGAATATCAAATTTTCCATCAATTGTTGACTTTTTGTTTTTTCAGTAGTGAAGCAATCGGGGTGTAAGGGGACCAAAGAGAGGAAACTATATATTACGTTTTTGCTGCCTTGCCCTCTGTTAAAATACTTAGTTTAGTTTGAATTACCTTAGACTGGTCCTGCGGTGGGCTATAGTTTTTTACCCAATCAAAGGAAATTGATCACTATTTTGTTACTCAGCCAAGTGGCTCTCTGGTACAATATTTTGTATGCCAAAATCAAACAGGTAAAAGAAGTTTCCTTCCATACAGGGAAAGAGATAAGATACCTTTCATATACTGCATGGTCAGTCTGGCTCTAAACAAAACAAGTCCCTGCTTTTGCCTATTTTACTTCTCTTCTGTTAGCAGAAAAGAGGATCTGAGCTTCAATCTTTCACGTCTGAAATGCCCCCCGGTGTTATCTGAAAAACGTGCCTCTCGGTAAAGGAAACTCACCAACAACAAATGGAATGTGTAAACTTAAAATCCACTCGATTTAATAATTTTTATCCAATTTTCACCACAGTCCAAGGAAAATCGAATTATATATGATCGTGTTTAGTGATGTTTGTGCAAGTTGTAGTAGTTGGAAGAAAGTATGAAAATGGTGTTCAGTGAGAATCGGCTTCAGTGATACGCTTGTGAAAAATGTTAGCAGCAAGAGAAGAGTGTGGAGGGGAGGATATAGCTTCGTTCTCGGGTAGATTCGGGGCATCAAACACCTTGCAGATGCGCTGTTCGCCTTTGCCTTTCCTAAACATCAGTCTAATCGTGGCTGCATGGGCAAGAACATGTCCTCCCGCTGGTTTCTTTGGGTCCGATATGAATACACCCCCACCAGGATCAGCAATAACTGCAATGATGAATCGGTTTCATTTGTTTTAGTAACGAGAGGATCAACAAACATGCGTATCGGCGACTATTACCTTGGTTAGTCATGTACACCGCAACATTAAACTCTTCAGCTATCTTCGTCAAACGAGAGAGCATCTGCGCCAGCTTTTGCTGCAAATTCCCAAATGACAGAACATCAAGACGAACACGATTAGGAAAGTTTGCACTCTACAGCCAGAGAGAGAGAGAGAGAGAGAGAGAACCTGGCGCTCTGCCAGCTCCCCTCTTCCTGTGAAATCCACGCGGAAGAGAGCAATGACGGAATCGACAATCTAAATTCATCCAAAAATATGTATTAGCACCTTAAAAGCTTCATCCATTCATGCAATCTGCAAAGTAAAACCCACCAGAAGCCTAAACGGTTCTTCAGACATTTTAGCTGCTAGGCCGAGGAGGAGGTTGTACTGATGCTCGTATGTGTAAGCACGTGCATAGATGATCTATTCATTATCACAACCAATAAAAGCCATCAATTCTATATGCCAATTATAAAAAGAGCTATGGCCTCAATCCCCTGGCATCTGTTGCCCAGATAGGAGACGAGGCATGAAGGTTTCATATTTACTGCATCTGTCTGAACTGAATTAGGGGGTGACAATAACATGTAAACGTCAGATTTGTGCCTTACGTTGTCGAGGACTGCCCCTGCATCCAAGCCAAACCTCTCTGCTATGGGGACAATACGATCGGGTCGACTGTAAATAGCATGGGGTTAAGAAGAAAACATACAAACACCTGACGACCTTCAATCCCTCGTTGCTGCCACCTAAATGGTTTGTCCTTTTCTTTAGAAATTTGTAGTTAACAGCGCATGTTAGAGAGGAAGCGAACGGAAAAAGGATACAAGGTTCCTTCGGTATCGATGTAAGCGACCTTCCCATTGCCACCTCGCATACTTAGAGGAAGCTGTAAAAAAAAAACGGTTTAGAAAGAAAGGTTCAGACTCTAAAAACTGAGGGTTAGATTACACTTCAAGTGCGTATTAGCAAGAGTTGGGGAAGAAAGAAACCTGCGTGGAAACGCACAGAGTGTGCGCGAGTTGAGTCTTCCCCGACCTAACAAGAAAGGAGAATACGAATGTCAGCTATATGGCGGGAAAAGACGAGTTGGCTTGAAGGTTTCTTACCGGAACTCCCCAAACGCTTCTGTAATAGATAAAGTTTCGATCCCCCCTTCAAAATTTTAAAAAGGAAACTTATTAGTTAGTCCAGGACTTGACTTCCGGTCCGGTAGTAAATAGAAAATACCACTGTATGGAAGCAAATCAAATAAACGAAAATTTACCGCCTAATAGTTCGTCCAGGGCTTGGCTTCCAGTAGTAATTCGAACCACGGATTTCCTCTATAACAAAAAACAAATAAATAAATAATTTCCTGCCAGTTCTTCTTGAATCTTGAGGACATAAATAAATTTTCAAAAGACACTTTCACAATATACGGTATTAAAATATGCGCATGATCACAATAGAAACATAAATTATGAAGCGTATTCCAACTCCGAAAGACGACTCTCCAGATCCAGTTTCAAAAAACGCACATGATAGTGTTCTGCAACTTGAGAAAATAAATGAACAAAACAAACAAATAAACAACTAGGTCCGTGGATTTTACTCTGAGAAGAACATCGCTTCCAGTTATGTAACCGAAATTCTGAAACGAAGAAAGAAAAGTGTATCAAGTTTTTGAGAGGGAATAAAATGAATATTCTTAAGATCAAAACGATTCTATGGATTGGCGTTTCTTTTTCTCGAAGACCAGAGCTCTAACCACTATCTTCTCGGCAGCTTCGCATATCTTATCCACTTTCGCTTCGGATAGTCCCTTTATCCCTGTCAGACTCTGAAAACAGGAAGCCTTCATCAAGAACAGGTGAAAACTTTCACAGATGGTGGACTTGAATTGAAAATCGTCTCACCTTCTTCGTATGCATCATCAAGCCATTACAAGTGTATATTCCGGCATCTTGGAGCTTTTTGACATCTCCAGCGTTGATTCCTTGAGAGATCACTACATGGCCAAGAATTAAATGAAGAGAAATTGAATTGAGATCTAATGCAAAATAAATCTGACGATTAAGGGAACAAAATTCGCTGAAGTTTTCTAGAATTTAAGAATATGCATTAATGGATGGAATTACAGAGAAAATCCTGATCGACATCTACTTGCGAAACTAAGAAGAATTTTGAAAATAAAGTGAGATCGAGCTCCCGTTCTCGTCTTCCATAAAATTCGAAACGAGAAATTCAATAACTGCTGCCGACGAAAAATGCAAATAGATTCAACCTCAATTAAACGAATGAGCGAAAACCACAGTAAAATCCGAAAATCTAGTAGAATACAGAAATAAAATGAAACTAATTAGATAATTTACGTTTATCGATTGCTTCAAACAATTCTTCTTCATCATCAACATCTTCTCTTTCAACGAGCTGGAGCTGGCTCTGTTCTTCGGATCTGAGCTCCAACCACAGAGAGAGAAAAAAAAATATATATATATATATATATAATTAAGTTTCTATAGGTCTAGAACTGAAACTAAATAATAGCGAAGACAACGATACTCACTTGAATTCGATCATTTTCGCTTTAGTCGTCAGATTGAAGGGGGGAGGAAATTTTCGCTTCGCGAGAGCTGTAGAAGTAGAACTACTGCAGTTTGTTTGAGGCTTCTTCAAACTTTCGAACAGAATATGTTATTTATAGGCCGCTGAGTAGTATATAGAGCTTTGGCCTTTGGCGGGAAGATTACTTACCGTGGATGCATCATACATTGGGACTGGAGTTTTACTTCGCTAAGCGTCCTAGAGACGCATTTCATTCGACCACGTTCAAGTTCAAAATAATCACGAAAAATCTATGATGCGGAAATGAGATGGTACCGAAAGAGTTTTAACCGATCAAAATACACCATAAATAACACCTGATTATTTATGATTCCAATTTTTTTTTAAATGATTAATGATTCCAATTGAGTAGTTAAACGTTTTCCCATATCATATATTTTTCATATCATAGTCGAATCACAGTTAAAATATCCCATCGTTCAGGTTCATTGGACCACACGCATTTTAACTTGTATATCCCGTTCAGCTTCATTGGACCACACGCATTTTTACTTGCATATGCCGTCCAGGTTTAAAATAATCACAGTTAAAATATCCCTGTTTGTTCTTTACCGCAACCTTTCTCTGAAAATAATCTCAACAGGATTTAAAGTCATCTCCCACAAAACAAATACATAAACCCATTATTTCGAAGGAAAATCATACAATTGGTATATCTCACTATTTCCTCATCCTCAAAATCGCAGCTGAACCTAAACAGGGTCGCCTTTGCTCATTTAACAATAATGATCCCAGACCAAGAAAATAAAAACAAAACTGATTTTCAATTTAGAACATCTACGAGGAAGTTAGGCTTTTTACATGGGTCGGCAAGGCTACAATGAACTCCACCATCGGCCATTAAAGATGAAAATTAATCAATAGTTTAAAATTACTTGATTAAAGATCAATACATCTGAAAGGTGTTTTAACAAGTTTTAATTTTAAAAACTGGATATTGGTATGGAAAATCAATTCTTTGTTTTCTAAGAACGAGTAATTAATCAAAAGAAAAAGAATGATGGGACATAGATTCCAAGTTAGATTTTCTAACTTTTTTATGGTTGAGAAAAATACTTAAAAAATAGTAGAAAAAAAAGCAACTCTGAGATGGAGTTCACTCTTTCACTGTGTCAGCTTTTTAGAAGCTTGGTAGCTCGTGTTTTGAATTTTTCCCATTTGGTTGGGAAAATATCTAATCATTGAAAGTCGCAGTCCCTAAAAAATGCGAAAAGCCCATAAAATGGAGTTTTTTTTTCTTTTTTTCCGATTCATCTTCATATAGAAAGACGCATGAACAGAGGCGCCTTAACCAAACAGTCTTCAACTCCTAAAACTACATTTCATTTTCTCGTGGATTTTGATTCTTCTAGATGAGAAAAACGATCATACTTAGGTCATACTGAGATTGAGTTTCAGGGAGGTTTAAATCCTTTACTGTGATTATTTTGAATGAACAGAATAGGCAATTAAGAAATCTTAACAGTGTTTGTCAAACTGTCCCAAGGTCAGTGATATGGCATAAGAGGGAACGTGGCGGCCTAGTGAAACGTATTTTTAAGGTGACGAGATCTGCTCCTCACAAATGGGCGCCTCACAGGCACATCCACTGTTCATTGGGAACATCTCCCATGAGTAATAACAAATAAGTATGGGACATGTTCCCAATATATGATAGGATGTGTGTGTGTGAGGAGCAGATCCAGTCTCATTTTTAGGAGGCTTGAGTCTTTTGCTTAAGGAGCAAAGAACTTCTTGATACATTGGATTTTGAAATCCAGAATTTTGGGGAGTGTTCGTCAAGACTCAATAAAACAAGGGGATGTTCTACAATATGAATGATTTTGTTTTCATTTGTTTTTGGGAATCGCCACTCAGAATAAAAAACAAAAAACATGTTCTAGAATTCTGTTTTTGTTTTCAAATGAAAAAATATGTTGATTTTGATTTTTTTTTTTAAATAATACTTGTCTTAGAAACAACAAAATATTGGTTTTTTATAGAAATTATATGATTTATGGAGCATGATGTAGAATAGTTAGATGAAAACATGTTTTTAAAACCAGATTTGATAACATGTTTTTTGTTTCAGTTTTAAAAACAAAAAACACACATACAACCAAGAACATGGTTTTATGTTTTTGTTTAAGAAACGATATGTTTTCAAATAAGATGGTTTTGATTTGTTTATTAAACCAACAACAAGAAAAATAATTCATGTTATAGAACACCCCCAAATCAACTGCCACTCTTCTTGTTTTGAAAAAAAAAATGAACAATAAACACAGATTTGCTTTCTATAAAAACCTTGCTTATGTGACTTACTTTCTGGTTTATGCCTCAAATACGTAGCCATGTAAGACTGCAACTTAGACAGATCCAACACAAACCCAATCCGACCCAACTCTAGTTTTTGCATGAATTGGGCTAGAATTTTCAAGCTACGAATTGGATTTGGGCCAGAAAATTGGGCCTGACCAAAACATGAATTAAGTTGGATCGAGTCCTCGGGTGCTTAAGCCTGACCCAACCCAACCAAAGTCTTCCGAGAAATACATATATATGCATGTATTTTATTTATATAAAGGAGTTATTTAAATCACCCATAATCAATTCTCTCTCTTCTTGGTATTAGATAAATACATTATACATAATGGGACATAGGGTGTGGATACATACCATTACACCTCCATTTGCCTTTCCTTATTTCAATTCCCAATATAAAAAGCATAGGCACTTTTTAACACCAGCCCTAGAACAAATTAAACATTGGATCTACCTATATTTGATTCAAGTTTATCCGTTTGTGGTTTGTATCATTATACGTCAAGAATACATCTAAGCAAAAACAATGTTCATGCTAGGGCACATGAATACATCTAAATATCTAATATTGGATTTTCGGCTTTGACAACTCATATACTTTGTGAAAATGTTACTTTTGCTCTTATACAATTGAAGGGGCCAATTTAGATCTTAGACTTTAAAAAGGCCACCGACTACCGGTAACCCCAAAATATACAGTATCACTAACGTCGTTCACAATCTATTAAATAATGAATTAAATAATATATCGAAATCCGATTCTAGGTTTTGAGATTTCAGGCAGTAGTTATTCGAAGAATTTAATTGAGTCATTTCTCATGAGATTTTACCTGTTGTAACTTTTTAGAGATTTTAGTTATTCGAAAAATTTTAAGTATTGATACCTTCAAATTTCCTTTTCCTGAAGGTACCTTCCTCCAGAGATTGGCTATCTTAATAAACTGGAATATTTAGATCTTTCCTTCAATAAGCTGAAGAATTTGCCTACAGAGATTACTTCTTTGGATGCATTGAAATCATCGAGAGTTGCTATTAATAAACTGGTGGAACTGCATTCAGGATTGTCTTGTGTAAATAATTGGCTGACATCACTGGGTTCTCTTCTCTCAATCTTGAATCAATGCATGCATACCCACCGTGACTTAAACCTTCAAGCATTCACTTCTGTGTTCTGATTTTCCAGATCCTCTTGGTTTTCATGGCTGGGGCTGGGTTAAGATGCTTGGTGATTTCTTTCACCATTTATAGTTTCCTGCTGCTCCCTTCCGTTGTTATTGTTTGGGGATCATGATATCTTCGTGTCCTTAGGTTTTCTCATGTTCCTAAGAATTTATTGGCTGGTTTTAATTTCGGTGAATTAAAGTCAAAATAGTGATGCTTTTGCTATTTATTTTATGGTCCTGGATAATCTTTATACAAGGATGGAAATTCCATGCTCTTCATTTCTGTCATGGTATCTATGTGTGAACTGATTTCTATGGATGTAACGTTTTTTAGTAATGTCCTTATTTCTTAATTATTTTACAATACAATAAGCTTCTTGATTCAAATGGTAGATGTTCTGCTTCACGAAGAAGGAAAAATGGGTGAAAGTGATGTGGTTATTTGCAACAACGACCTTGCTAGGAGTGCTGTTTGAACGGCAATAGGAAGTTGAGTGGGAAAGATGGTAACCAGATAAGGATTATGAAGGTTGCTGTGAAATGTAAACCAAGCAAATTTCTTGTAGCTTTTTATTGCAGATTGACGAAATAATTTTTGGTCATGTATCAATTTTTTGTGTTAAGTACCTCGTCATTTGGTCTACTTCCAAGTGGTCGATGACTCAGAGGCCGAAGTGAACTTTTGCTGGATGAGGATCTGGATGCCGAGCTAATCAGGCCGAGCGAGCTGGGGGCAGATTAGGTGTCGAGTTAACTGGGCTGAGCTGCGCAGGTTAGGTGACGAGCTGACCAGAGTGTTGAGCTGCCTATTAGGTGCCGAGCTGACCAGAGGGTCGAGCTGCCTATTAATCGCCGAGCTGACTAGAGGGTCGAGCTGCCTATTAGTTGCCGAGATGACCAGAGGGCCGAGCTGCCTATTAGTTGTCGAACTGACCAGAGGGCCGAGCTGCCTATTAGCTGTCGAGCTGACTAGAGGGCCGAGCTGCCTGGTGGCGAGCTGGATTGATTGTTGAGCTTCGTAGTTCTTTAGAGACCTGCAAGGAATCAATGTCAAAGGACCCGGGGTGGCTAACCCGGCGAGGTCACTCTGATGCTTAAGTCAGTACTCTCATAATAGATTGCGAGCTAAAAATCACAAGGTATGAGAGCTAGAATATGCTTACTTGCCCCCCTCATGTCATTGGGGTTGGTGCCTTTATATAGGCATTGTTTGGTGTGGGCTTCACACACCATATCCGAGATTTCCGAGAAGTCACCTAAGTGGTTCGAGATTCCCGGAAGCAACTACCATGCACGTTGACCACCCTCCGGATCGTTCGCCACGTGGGCCAACTTCCAAAGATCATGGGAGTGTTAGGATATGCATGCCGAATTTGTTGGCGAGCACGTCTTGTAGGTCGCCAGGTCGGTGCCTGTGCCAGGCTGCCAGGTGGGACACCATCAACTTGGCTAAGGCAAGTTGTTCCCTAAGTGGTTCCGGGTGTCACCTACTTGTTCCGAGGTGCCATGTGTCACAATATCATTGGAGGGCCAAATCCGCCCTCATCACAGATGGTGCATAA